CGCACTCAACCAGTGAGCGGCCGGTCTGTATGTGGGATCCGAACCCTCGGCGGGAGCGCACTGTAGCAGTGCACCACCGGGCCAGCCCTCCACCTTCTTAACAGTCACAGTGGGGCTAAGTTTGTAATACATAAAGCTTGGGGGACACAATTCAAGCTTCAGGGAGTTTTGGGGGGACATAATTCAATCCATTACATTATGTATGATTATAAATTTTATAATCACACAATCGTGACAAATAGATTGATGTATTATATATTAAAAAAGAATGTTTAGGGCCAGCCTGGTGGCGCGCTCGGTAGAGTGCGGCGCTTGGGAGTGCGGCGGTGCTCCCGCCAAGGGTTCGGATCCCATATAGAGACCGGTCCACTCACTGGTTGAGCGCGGTGCGGGCGCAACACCGAGGGTTGCAATCCCGTTGCCGGTCATGGTACGGGCGCGACACCGAGGGTTGCGATCCCATTACCGGTCACGAAAACAAAGAGGGAAAAAAAAATAAAAAAGAATGTTTAGAAAAAATAAAACTGGTTTTCTTTTTTAAAACTCGTGTCAATATCTTATATTTGCTTTTTTGGATTTCCAATTAGGTGGAGATTGGAGATTTTGAAAGGCCTTTCTCAACTCCAGCAGGGCATGTTACCAATCAGTGCAAAGTAAATCAAACTCTAAAACAAGTCATAGAGAAATTTTATCCTAAAAGGTACAGAGATGGCTGTTCTGAAGAACAGTTAAGGTAAGGAAATATTTGTAATTCTTTAGAAGGTAGAGTCACACTAGTTTTTTGGTATTTTTCTGTTCAATTTTAAGGGTGAAAAAAATCATGACAGTTTTCTGAAGATTTTTTAATACCATTGTGCCCTAAGAGGTTATAGATTTTTTTTTTTTCCTTTTTGTCTTTTTTTGTGACCGGCAACGGATCGCAACCCTCAGTGTCGCGCCCGTACCGGACCAGGACCGGCCACGGGATCGCAACCCTCAGTGTTGCTCCCGCACCTCGCTCAGCCAGTGAGCGGCCGGTCTGCATGTGGGATCCGAACCCTCAGCCGGAGCGCCGCCGCACTTCCCAAGCGGCGCACTATAGCAGTGCGCCACCGGGCCGGCCCGAGGTTATAGATATTTTAAAGATGTTCCCCGAAGCTTTAGAATCTATATTTTAAAATTTTAATGGAAAAATATTACTTTAATTTAGACCTCCTTTTCATTTGATATTATTCATTCTTGTCCAAATTAATCCTGATAATAAATAAGACAAAAAAATTGGCCAATAATTTTTAATTTTATGAAGTGCTTACCAGAAAGTTTTTAATCTCATAGGATATTCCATTATAAACAAATTGAAATAAAAATAAACTATGTTCTTACACAAGACTTTTTAATATAGAGTTTTAAATTAAACTCAATTTAGAGTTTCTATTTTAGAGAGCATATAAAGAAAAGCTGGTTAGATTAAAAAATAGAGGCAAATCCAATTGGTCATGAGTTTTCCAAAACATTTAAGATCAGTCTTTTGTCTATGCCTTTGTGATTTGATTTGAGACGTTTCTCCCTACGTCCACATCTCTCTAAGCCAGGAGCAGCAGTACCTAAAATTCTTCCATGAGGGATCCATCATTAGGTTCTACTTCCTGTATGTACTTTTATTTAAAAATGAAAATGTCCCCATGAGAAATTACCTTTTAAACTAATTCACACTGATGTTTGATGTTAGCTATTCATATTTTTAAAATTTACTTGCTAGGGGTAACTAGGTCATGCTGAGAACACTAATAGTATGAGAATCTGGTGAAAGGAATGCTCCAAAAAGGACAAGGAGTAGACAGTGGTGACATGAGAGTCACAAACTAACAGTTTTACCTAGGTTATGCCTCAGTATCCCAGTTGTGCCTAGGATCGCTCAAGGAGAACTTTATCTTGGGAGGATCATACACTGTTTGTGTTTTTGAATTTGTCTTTTTGTTTTTGTTCTTTTCTTTTTTAGGCAGCTTTGCCAGCGACTTTCAACCAGATGGATGGCCCTCCGGGGACACAGTGCTGCTGATTGTGTGCGCATTTATTTGACAGTAGCCAGGAAGTGGCCATTCTTTGGTGCCAAGTTGTTTCTTGCAAAAGTAAGAAAGAATGAGAGGGAGATGCATAATAAGAGGGAGATGCATAATAAAAACCTTTGTGTACACAGTAGACCAGATTTATCCCAGATTTAGTAGAGTTGGCTTTTTTTTTTTTAAAAACCTTTGTGTACACAGTAGACCAGATTTATCCCAGATTTAGTAGAGTTGGCTTTTTTTAAAATAAAAATGAGGAAATTCCTAACAATTTAACGAAAACAACGAAGGGACATTAGGGAAAGGGCAGAAAAGCTTCTCTTTTCTCCTCTGTTGAACTTTCCCCTACACTAAATCATTTCTTAGACTCATTAGGCTAATCATGAGATTGTAAACAACATAAACAAAGAACATATGTCTGAACTCTGCTTTCTTCTCTTCATTTCATTCATCCACTCACTCTTTTACTCTCTCATTCATTTGCTTATTTATTTAGTAAGTATTTACTGAGTACTGTTTGCCAAACATTGAGCTAAGCTCTAAGGATACATAAACCCATGGTTTCTGATGGGTTGTGCCCAAACTTCCAGGACTATTTCACTCTGTATAGTCCAGTGTTGCAGCAGGACTGTAAGCAAACCACTGTATGGCAAATCATTAGGAGTGACATGAACAGAGTGCTTCAGAAATACTGAGGAGGGAGACTAACCCTGCCGGGTGAATGGCCAGTGCTTTCTATTGAACCACGCACTTTGTACTCTCTAAGGCTCTTAAGATACATTCTGCTTTGTGTTATATTTTTCTATGCGTTTCTTTTATCCTCAGTAATAAGTTGCACAATTCTTGAGAATGTAGACTCACTATTCCTAAAATCCTCCTTTGGTGCCCACCATAATACGTTGCTCATAATTATCACTTAATAAATACTTGCTGAATAGTTGTGCAATTTTAGACAAGTTGGTTAACCTCTCTGGACCTCAATTTCCTCATTTATTAATGAACAACTTGGACTAGAAAGTAAAATCTAAGGCATCTAACTCTAAATCTATAATTGACTATGTTATTGTTAGGTTAAGAAATTATTTTTGCTCCTGAAACTGGATGCTGTACACTAAGTTGACAGAAAAATGATAAAGTTAGTATTTTTTAAACATCTGTATTTGCAGGGAGTTGGACATATGTTTTTTAAAAGATATAAGGAATAGATTTGAACACAGATCACCATTTTACAATGGATTTTAATTTTAACTTCAACATTGGAAAGAATATTAAATATCCTTCTCTGCTCTGATACATTCTGTGCTTGTTGGCACAAAATATTATTATTATTTTTTTTTTTCCTTTTTTGTCTTTTTTCGTGACCGGCAACTGATCGCAACCCTCAGTGTCGCGCCCTCACCGGACCGGGACCAGCCACGGGATCGCAACCCTCGGCGTTGCTCCCGCACCTCGCTCAGCCAGTGAGCGGGAACCGGTCTGTACGTGGGATCCGAACCCTCGGTGGGAACGCCGCTGCGCTTCCCAAGCGGCTCAGTTATCCAGTGCGCCACCGGGCCGCCACAAAATATTATTTTTAAATAATACTGCATCTCAAGTTGCGTGATAGACATCTTTTTTTTGCTCACTTTCTTTATAACAGAAAGGCACCTTTTTTTGTTTAATGGGTCCCTTTTTGTGTGTGTGTGTGGTAAAATACACATAACTTGAAATTTACCTTCTCCCAAGCGGCACACGAGAGCAGTGCGCCACCGGGCCGGCCACAAAATATTATTTTTAAATAATACTGCATCTCAAGTTGCGTGATAGACATCTTTTTTTTGCTCACTTTCTTTATAACAGAAAGGCACCTTTTTTTTGTTTAATGGGTCCCTTTTTTTGTGTGTGTGTGGTAAAATACACATAACTTGAAATTTACCTTCTTTACCATTTTTAAGTGTACAATTCTGTGGCATTAAGTACATTCACATTGTTGTGCTACTGTCACCACCATCCATCCCCAGAACTTTATCCTCCCAACCGGAAACTATATCCATTAAACATTAATTCTCTATTCTCTCCTCACACCCCTCAGCTCCTGGCAACCACCATTCTAATTTCTGTCTCTATGAATTTGACCACTCTAGGAACCTCATAAGAGAAATCATACAATATTTGTCCTTTTGTTATTGGTTTATTTCACTTAATATAGTGTCCTCAAGGCTCATCCATGTTGTATAGCACATGTCAACATGTCCTTCCTTTCTAAGGTTAAACAACATTCCACTGTGTGTATATACCACATTTTGTTTATCCTTTCACCTGTCAATGGACACTTGAGTTGAAATTCATCCTTTTTAGTGCTTGCCTAACATTTGCACACCAGCTCTCAACAGACCCAGGGTTTCTTATATATGAGATTCTAATAAGCTTTAGTACACACAAATAACACAAGATTCATCTCAGTTCCTTATCTATAGTCTTGACATTCTTTTATAAGATTTAAGAGAAATAGTTAGGATTTTGCTAGAATTTTAGTAGTTAACTGAACAAAACAATCATCAGCACCACGTTCTCCCAAGTGAGCTAACTGGCCAGCCCTGAACAAAACAATCATTGTGGAGTGCTGAAACACATGCATGGATCTTAATTGTGTTGTAGTGGTGGGAGATTCTTTTTATTAAGATAATTTCATCTCTTTTGCAATAAAAAATGTGTTGGAAATTTTAGTATTTCTCATTACTTCTGATCACACAGTTTTATATTTTCTTTTTTATTAGACATTCAGTATAAAATTTAATAAACTTTCAGGAGAACCGTGCAGTTACAATAATAATCCTTTACCTTGTAATAGCACTACACACCTTATAAAAGCACATTAATATATTTTGTTTCATTAGGATTTGGGTCATTATAGAAACCCTAAAAGCTTTGTTGACTATTAGCCTCTTGAAACAAAAGAAAACTAAGATATAAATATTATTGTTCTCATGCTAAAGTTGAGAAAATTGAGCCTCAAAGAGATTAAGTAGCTTTTCCAAATATATAGATTAATAAATGGTAGATTTGGGTCTCAGAGCCAGGTCTTCTAATGTCATGTTCACTGCTCATTCTAGTATACTACACTGCCTCTTCCCCAAGAGAGATTTTTAATAATAAGTTTTTCTTTTTGTTGTTTAATGGCAAATGTTACATGGCATTTAGACTGAAAAATTTCTGTAATTCTGCTCACCATTTATAATATAGTGTATTTTCACCTCTTTATAGCCCATAACTCCACCATCACTTGGAAGTTCTTTTATGTGGCTGGCTATACATGAGGATGGTTTAAGCATCTTAGAATACAGCTCCATGGTAAGATTAAATCCTGAAATTTTTCACCAAGTCAATTATTTTCATTGCCCAGTGTACCATAAACAGAAGGTAATGATATCTTAATCTGATTTTTCTCATACACAGAAAATATTCTTCCTAATACTGTATTATGAATAGTCATTTTACAAATACAACTGTGATTACAATTTAGTCTTTTAAACAAGATAAGATAGGTTGTCTATTGTGTATAAGAAAAATATTAAGCTATCATGATTAAATTGCAACCATGGTTGTATTTGTGAAATGACTATTTTTTTCAAGTGTTAGAAAGATTGTTTCCTGTGTAAAATAAAAATCTTGAAGATATTATTAAAGTAAAAGTTTTAATTATCAAAGATTATGTTTAGTTTCACTAAGGCTTCTATTACATAATTTCTATAATTACCCATAATATCACTTACCAGTTCACTTGTACATATACAGTATCTTAGAGCTTTTCACATAACTAAAAATAAAGTCAAACTATGCTTTCTATATGTTTATCTGAAATTAACATTATTTTTATCATAGTTAATGTGTCAGATTATTTAGTATTTATTAATTTTTTACTTATCTAGAGGGCAGAAACTGCTAAACACACCTAGCAGGTGTAGTGGACTCTTCTTACCTATGGCTATAGTCAGAGATCATGAAATTTTTTTAGAAACCAGACTGTCCTTTAGTGTTACAATTACTGTTTCCCCTTATAATTGTGGGGAAAAAAAAAACTTTTTTGAAGAAGTTTGTATTTTCTGAATGCCTTTTAGTTCTTAAGTGGATAACTTGAAGACAGATTATAAAATCAGTGACTTAAAGTCACCTAGGCCGGCCCGGTGGCGCACTGGATAGTGCGCCGCTTGGGAAGCGCGGCAGCGCTCCCGTCCGAGGGTTCGGATCCCACGTACAGACCGGCTCCCGCTCACTGGCTGAGCGAGGCGCGGGAGCAACGCCGAGGCTTGCGATCCCGTCGCCGGTCCCCGGTCCGGTACGGGGGCAACACTGAGGGTTGCGATCCGTTGCCGGACACGGAAAAAGACAAAAAAAAAAAAAATGTACAGCCTAAAAGTAAAGGAATCTGCATATCTAACTCTTAGCTTACAAGACTGAGCAAGCAATTCTGGCACTGAATGCCTCTGTATCTATTTCCCACCATTGCCTACTTCCTGGCCTGTATGGGATCTAGGAAACTAATTTACTTAACTAAGGTAACTCAGTACTCAGTACCAGTATACAGTTTTTTGGTGACTTTTTTTTTTTTTTTTTTTTTTTTTTTTTTTTTTTTTTTTTT